ACAGATCACTCTGACAAACTCTTCTGCACAAAGCCATGGCTGACTGTTACCCAGCATCCTATTTCCTTTATATTTTTGACAAACTGATTTTATGGCGATATGTTCCAAGTATTTTAGAAAACTGAGTAAAATCCAGGACCAACTCCTTTTAAACAAATGTAAGTAATACACAGGAACTTTTTCAATGCCCAGAAATTTCCAGTATTCTCCATAAGTCTATAATACTGAAATGCCCTGCAATAACTTCCACACGTTTTTAAAAATGTTATAGCAACATTTCAAATTCATTTTCAGCATAACCACCAAAAACACAGAAATGGAGATCCATGTTTAGCCTCTGTCTTCCCTGTACTTAGGGGACGGCAGCAGGTTTTTTGCTACAGCTGAAAGTGTCTCCACGCTACAGTTCTGGTGGCAGGACTTCAGTCAAAGTCCCCCTTTGGAATTAAGCTCCACAAGAGCTGTATCCTCAGCAACTGCAACAGTGCCGCGTATGTATCTGGCATTTCATAAATACTTGCTGGATGAAATGAACACATGAATGATTTCCAGTGTGTTTTATATTCTTAACCGAATGTGGCATGGTTTCATATTTCTGATTAGTTCTTGAATTATGATCACTGAATTACAATAATTTTTTTAAAAGCTATGTACCCAACTTGGAATTACAGGCAAACTTAAAAGTTCAACTTATTCACTGCATCATGGAAACCCTTGGTATTGACATTACTTATGATCACTGAGCCCAGAGAGACCCCTAGAACACCCTTGAGGCAGCTGCAGAGGCTGGCACTATAGAGGCTGGCATTGCTTTTACTACTGTATCAAACTGATGTGCCCATGGTGCACTAATTTCACTTTTGTGGTGCTCAGTCTAACATATACCAAATCACTGATTAATAGGTAGCAAGGCACAGAAGTATAAACTTTGTTAAGATCAAGGTGGGATGACTTGAGGGTCATTCCCTTTATCAGACTTCTTCCTTACAAAATACAGATCACTCTGACAAACTCTTCTGCACAAAGCCATGGCTGACTGTTACCCAGCATCCTATTTCCTTTATATTTTTGACAAACTGATTTTATGGCGATATGTTCCAAGTATTTTAGAAAACTGAGTAAAATCCAGGACCAACTCCTTTTAAACAAATGTAAGTAATACACAGGAACTTTTTCAATGCCCAGAAATTTCCAGTATTCTCCATAAGTCTATAATACTGAAATGCCCTGCAATAACTTCCACACGTTTTTAAAAATGTTATAGCAACATTTCAAATTCATTTTCAGCATAACCACCAAAAACACAGAAATGGAGATCCATGTTTTCTCATTATGCTCTGCCAAGAATACAATTCTTCTTGCCCTATGCCCACCACTGCACACCTTAATACTATAAACTACTCAAAGAATAGTCCCTAAAATGAGGCTTTAACTAGACCATTCACCTTCCTGTAAGGGATTCGGGAGCAAGTCTAAATTCGCCAGGTCATCCATCATCATTGCATCTTACCCCTTCTTGGCTTTGCAAAATCACCCATGCCCTGCACAAGCCTCCCTCCCAAATCCCATTCTATGCCTTCTAGAGCTTATCAACAAAATCCTTTCTGCCCTTATTCTTCCCTCTGGACGTTCCCTTCACCTTCTTGCGTAAACTGAAACCTAGGTAGTATCTGACTACTCTTTTTCCCTTGAAGTCTTCTTAAATGGGAATGGCTTTATCTCCCACATTCCATAAATCCTGGCAGGGGCATAGGTATCCTCTTTGTTCTCACTGCTACTTTCAGATCATTCTTCCTTTTCCCCTTTAAAAAATAAAACTTTGTCCACTTGAAGCATATGCAATTAGACATCACCAGCCACACAGAGGTGTGGCATTTACCTGCAAAACTTCTGGCTCCATGTCTCTTCCCTGCTACTATTCCTTGGCATCTTCATCATTGGTAGAGGCACTTCATCCTGACTCACCTATCTGACCTCCCAGCCCTAGTGATGTTCTTCACCCCTCTTCAATCAACTACATCATCCATGGTAACTTCTAACCCTCATTACAACCAATAATAACTTTGTCTTCAAGTATTCATTTCTACTTACTTCCTTAGCTATCTCACTCCAGTAATTCTTCAATCCCACTAGAACCTCCCCTCTACTCTCCATATTACTGACTCCCTGATTATGTCTCCTTCTCAGTGTAGGTTACATGGTCAATCACTACAAAGCTCTCTTATATAATTCTCAATCCCCATGACTCCCTCTCTCTCTTTCCATCAGAATGGTCAGGAAAATACCCAACCTGCAACCTCTCTTACCTACACTGCACACCTACATCAGAACTAGAGAAAATCACACAACTGTGCTGGCTGGCCTCTCTTCAAAGGCATAACCACTAACCTCAAATAAGCTGTCAGTACCGGTAGGTGACCCTACTACATTTCCCTAGTTAATTCATTTGTCTTTTCCTTTAAAGATATGTTTACATTTTCCTCTTTCTCTTTGATTTTCCACACTCTTTCTTCCATCTCAATGTCAGATGATGACCTTGTTTTATACTCTCCTGAGAAACAGAAACAATTTTGTTCTCCTTATTCCACAAAGTCTTTGCTCCTGCAATCGCCCTTCTTACATTATTGGCTTTTCCTTCTTACTACATCGTTGTGGTCATCATCCAAACATGCTGTAGTATCTCCTGTATTTTCTTAAGCTCTTCTTGACCCTACATTCCCCTAAAAAAATTACCCCTATTTTCATTACCATTTTATTACGAGACTCCTCAAGTCTTCCTACGTCTATAACTTGCACTATCATTCTACTATTTCAGGTTAGAAACCCTAGAATCATCTTTGTGTAATTTTCATCCTTCCCTTTCCTGCTAGCAGACACCGTAGGTTCTTCCATCAAAATGGTGCATATATCCATCTCTTCTTTGCTGTTTTCCTGCTGCCACTCTAGTCCAGTTTCTTGTGGTAACACATCTAAACAGCTAAAAAGCTCTCCAATGAGCCTCTTGACTGCCATTATTTCCCTCTGCTAATTCATTTTGCATTCTACCACAACCAAAGTCTGCCTGATGTTGACTTCATCATCTTCTTTCTGATTCTGTCTGTTCATAAACCCACAATGATCTCTGATTGCTCATATTACCTGGCTTAAGCTTGTTGCACAATGTTTAAGACATTTCATAATCTGGTCCTATCCTGCCTCGAACCTTTATTTCCTATTGTCCACCAACATAAAACTCTGCTCTTTCAGACCAGTTTCCCTAGTGTGTTCCATGTAAGTCATGCAGATTCCCACTTCCACATTTTCTTCTTTTGTCCATGTTGACCTCACTCCTGAAATCCATTATCATCACTATTCTAAATTGTTTAGACTGTATCCTCCATGATACCTTATCACGCAATTCAAAATCATACTTTCTTGGCACTGAGGTCCTATAGCATTCCAAGTCTCTGTCACTATTAATGACGTGGATATTTATTAAGTATGATTTTATCACTAATTCTTTCATATACAATATATACCTGAATATAAGTACACTTTTTCCTTCAAAATTCCTTCTCAGAAAAAGGAAATCCCCTAATGCTGATTTCTCACAAGATCTCTCATACTGCCTGGTGCTTTATTTTGAATAACAAAGCACTGTTTGTAGAAGATACATTAACCTTAAATGACCTCAACTAATTCCACATTTGGATTACATAGAAGCCATCTGAAATAATAAGTTGGAAAATAACAGGTAAAGAAATTCAATCAGATACAGTAATTATTCCTGTGGGAATGATCTCAAAATGGGAAATGCTGGATCTCACAAACACCCTTTTTAGAATCACTTTAAAAATCAATAAAGTTAATCTCCACATTGCAAAGATCATAAATACACGCCTAACTAATTACAAATGCAACTGTCCTAATTTTATGTGAAGAGATACCGGGTTTTGGGACAAAACTTCCTGTGATAGCATCATCCTTAGATTCAAAATCTGCTGCATCTCAAACAACTTAGGTGGCAGTGAAGAGGGCATGTTCAGGAGCAGGGCATTAAATGACCTGGAAGGGGGCCTGAGTAGAGATAATGATAGCAATGGTGAGGCATTCACCATTCAGGACAGTTTCCTAAAAATGTAAGAATGGCAAAAAGTAGTAATTCTAAATTGCTGTATGACTTTACATGAGTTTAAATGTGTATGCACAGTTAAATTATTAACTATATAAACAGACATGTGATCACATCATCTATATCCCTAAATGTTTACATACTGAAGTTGGCAAAATACTCTTTTATGGCAGGCAATGGGTGTGGGGAGCAAAGGGCAGCTGAACAACAGAAATGAGTTAGGTAACCAATGGTATTGTTTAAGTCATGATGTGACAGGAAAAATACTTGGTGTGGTTAGCACTAGCACTGATACTCATCAAATGCGTGGAAGCTCAGTTTCCCAATGTTCAAGTTCAAGGACTGGACTAAATGTTCTCTAGGATCCTCTGCAATTCACAAATGTTATTTCTATTGTTTTCTACTCTATTCTTTTCTAATGACTCAGGAGCACTGGTAAATACAAAGAGAAATGTTATTTTGTAGGCTACTGCAAATTTCTTCTTCCTTACCATTTAATATAACTTGGAAACTAAGTACATTTCCAAAACTTCAGTCCTGCTTTACTGACCTTATAAGCTTGATTTTTGGACTTTAAGAATCCTTGGTATTAGATTACCAACCATTCCATCTTACAATGACATCATTTTAGAGATAAGAGGTATATTTAAGAATGTCTCTTTCAGCATCTTTTTCCCTCAAGAAGAAACCAGGGGCTACGAGAGTTTAATGCTGCTCAGCGGCAGAACTGAGACCCAAACCCAGGCTTTACTCCTTCTGAATTCTGGCTATGAGCCATGACACCAAGCTCTGGGTACTCCACAGGAGATTACTGTGGTGATGAGTCATATTTTCAATTTCTTGAAGTGTTTTCTCAGTTGTATGTATGAATATACAAAAGTTATGGGCCATATCAGTATAATTTTCTTATTACTTGAATGCAATTTCTGACTTTTCTCCAGAGGTGAAGTGCCTAATGATCCCTCCACGCCCTATGTGATTCCTGCCCTCCAGTAAAACCAACCTAAGCCTTCAATCATCACTGTATAACTCTCCCATTTCTGCTAAAGAGATAACTCTTTCATGCCAGATGAGCCGCATTTCTAATTAGAAGACTCTCCTCATGGAGCACCATCCTACGGTAAATCAAACGGAACGGACCTGGAGACAACAGATGCTGATCTCAAGCACACCGCTTGTGAAATCATCCATTATGCACAGGTGGCCTAGGAGGGCTGACACAGAGGGCCCCGCTCACACCACTACAGCACCGCCATTCCATAGCGTCTTGGAAACACACACATGACATCAGCACCTGGTAAACTTCATGTATCTTAGTTGGGATTATACAAACTACCACTCTCTGTAAACTTCTCTTTGCCTTTTCAAGCTCAAATACTATTACCACTCAGAGTTACAGAATGGTAAGGCTTACGACTGGATGGTTAACAAAAATTAATGCTTACCTTCAATTCTCTTTAAAGCTGAAAGGCACATATCCTGACTTGGAAATTCAAAGGGATTGCTGCAGGTTCGAATGGTGTCACATTCACATTTCCCATTGATTATATTGCAGCCAGCAATAAGGTTTTCATTGCATGGTTTAAAACCAAGCAGTTGGTCATCAGTCCAGTTCTCATCTGTAAAACAATTAACAACCAGATAATGTGTGTTTGCAGCTTCATTCAAAGGCCTGTTTGAGGGCAAAAATGCACTGGGATGTCAAGATTAACATTCAATTTTGACAAATCAATTTGTGAAAGGCAGTCTGGCTGAAACTTTACAAATGAATGAAACCCAATCTCTTCGTAATAACTGAGAAAACTGAAATAATAGCCATACATATAGGCATTAAATAGCTATATGCACAAAGGTTTGAAACAAAAACCCACTACTTCTCTTATGTGTTATTACAACAACAATTGAGATGCCTTTAAAAATGTTTAATATCAAATAAAGATTCCTGGGTTTTTTCATGTTCAATACAATTACAAGAGTCATATTTGTCAATCTACAAAATTATTTTTTAAAAAGTTCTGTTTTGGCCAGGCACAGTGGCTTATGCCCGTAATCGCAACATTTTCAGAGACCAAGGCGGGGGGATTACTTGAGCCCAGGAGTTCACGACCAGCCTGGGCAACACAGTGAGATCCAGTCTCTACAAAAATAAAAAAAAAACTAGCTAGGCATGGTGGTGCATGCCTGTGGTCCCAGCACTCAGGAGTTTGAGGTGGGAGGATCACCTGCCCAGGAGGTTGATCACCCCACTGCATTCCAGCCAGGGAAACTGAGTGAGACTCTCTTTAAAAGGCTAATTTTTTACTCTATTGGTAGGGACCGACTTTAGATTTAAAACAGCTCTTCAACTTACTACATTAAGGCAGCTAATAATCAACAACAAAAATCAGACACCACCAAAAGAGTCACAGTGGAGGGGAACCCCTCTAATGCATTTGGGGACAGACTGGTAGTATCCATCACTACCAACCCAAAGTCAGAAACAACAACAAAACTAAAGGCCTGCAGCTCAGAGACAGGCTGAGGTAACTGAAAACTGAGGCTGAGACCAAATCAGGTTCTGATCAGGGAATGGAGCAGACTACAATAAATAAAGTACATTTTAAAAACAGCTATCATGGCTCAGCTCCAAAAAAATGCAATGAATATGACAGAATCATACGCAGGCTCAATTCTTAATATTCCTCATAGTTGAAACATCTCTTATAGGAAATTAGACTATCTCTCTATGAATCCTTGGGCCATTACATGGGTTTTTCCCACACTTAACATTATCTTTAACAGATACTTTACCCACCTGAAATGGGTACTGCCTGTTGCATAGTAAACATGTTTCTGATAAGCATATCTGAAGAGAATTTTTTAAAGCACTTGAATTTAAGAAACCTTAAACCTCTTGCTCAAACTAAGGCAGGTATAAATGCCATCTTAAGAATCTGTTTTTGGCTGGGAGTGGTGGCTCATGCCTGTAATCCCAGCATTTTGGGAAGCCGAGGCGGGCAGATCACCTGAGAACAGCCTGGCCAACATGATGAAAACCCATCTCCATTAAAAATACAAAAATTAGCTGGATGTGGTGGTGTGCGCCTGTGGTCCCTGCTACTCAGGAGGCTGAAGCAGGAGAATTGTTTGAAACAGAGAAGCGGACGTTGTGGCAAGCCAAGATCGCGCCACTGCACTCCACCCTGGGCAACAAAGTGAAACTCCGTCTCAAAAAAAAAAAAAAAGTACAAACAAATGACTCTGATTTTTATAGGGTTAGCTTTTATTGCTGGCATCACTGCTCAGCGCATAAGTGAGACAAAAGTCTGCTCTCCCGGACTGAAATAAATAATTTTCTCATCAAGAGGTCTTTACAAGAATGTCATTTACTACATAAAGAGCTTCAGGGCGGTCCTTTGAAAAGGGAGAAGAGAAAATCTCTTGTGTTTTGATTTCAGGAGATCAGGCTCACTTATTTGATCAAAGCCTCAGCTTTTAGTAAAATGATTATCTTTCGGATTTGAAGTTTATACCGACACACAATTTATGTTTTAAAATTTGTTCTCCTATTTAGCCTATATTTCGTCCTAGAGAGAGAGAGACAGAGAGACAGAAAGAGAGAGAGGAGGGGAGAGAGAGAGAGAAGCAATACACACACACATATAACATATACACACAAAGGTACATTCCTATCTTCAAGACAACAATGAAATTACTAAAGTACTCTGAAAGGAAAATCAGAAAAAGAATACCATATTGAAAAAATTCAACATAGAAAAGAAGGTGATATTTGTCTTCAGTTGTAATAAAATGTGCATCCAAGTGATTTCTTATCTGTTTAACTGTTAACATGCTAGTAGTACTAGCATTTTACTATAGTTCAGTCAGATTTGCCATGGAGGAATTTTTATAACTACATATGCAAATTTATAACTGAAAGACAGTTTAGCCCTAGGAATTAAAAGAACTTGTAAGAAATTCAAGTAACATTTGAGCTACTGAAAAACTCTGTGTATCTGTCCTCCTTTCCTTCATAGTTTTAAGAGGAAACCTTTATTACTGTTCTTATAAATACGTGCAGTTACTGAGGTGATTCTACTGCAGAATTTTTTCCACAGTAAACATCCCTTCCCACCATTCTAATTGGAACTCCCCGAAGACACCACTCTCCTGAACTACCCACAATGTCTTCTAACCTGGCTCCCTGCCACTATTCTCTTGTCATTCCACCTCACTCCCCACAATGTCCCCAGATCCATCTTCCTCAAAAAACAAACCTGGCCAGTAATTATCTCTTGGCAACAAAAAAATGTCCCAGCTTCTTACTGTAGAATATCAGCTTCTTCACGGCATGGCTTGTAGCTACTTCTGCAGACTCGTCTTTCACCAGTCCCTCTCACATCCTAACGCTCTAGGCACACTGAGGCTCTCACCACAAACCTGCAGGAACTGCTCCCGTGCTTTACTCGGGAGTGTCGTCCACCTGGAATACCTCCTTCCCTTCCTCCTCTGATATCTCCTGCTCATCCTTCAAAACCTAGCTCAGATGTTACCTCTTTCGAGAAGCCTTCTCCACCTGCCCCCGGAGAAGAAGGTGTTCCATCCTCCGTGCTCCCACAAACATCTGCACAGACCTGTTGGCCCCTACCATAGTGGTTTTATGTAAGCCATAATTCCCCAGCAGACAAAGAAGCCTCACATATGTATATACATACACATATGTATATATATGTATTATACATATGTGTGTATATACACAGACACATACATGTCACTGGTATGGTCAATGCAGTTGTATCTTTAACAAAAAAGTGCCTAATTAAAAAATGATTAAAAAATATATATACACACACACACATATACACAAAACATCACAAGGAAAACTATGCTTCAAGATATAATAAAGAACCTGTTTAAACAACACAAATCCTGTTTTAAAAGCTTACTATTACAGCACTGTATGAGGCACACATTTCAAAGAAATGCTTGGAATCCTGGGCGCATTTCTCAGTAGGCATCACCTATCATTACTCTCCTCCTCCACCGTTCAGCTCTAAGACTTCAACCTCTTATTACCTGGCTGGCATCAACAGTCCTTCCATGCAGCCCATCTCACAGCCAATTGGTTTTCACTGCCAGATGCTTTTCTCTGCCACCCCACAGGAAGACCATTTCCCCCAAATCTGGAATCAGAACTAAAAGGCCTTTGATGAGGCCGCTGCCCCCCTGCTGTTTTCTGCTGCTTTCTCAGCAGAAGTTTCCAGGCAGCAGCAGCAGACTCACCTGAAGATGCTCAGGTGAAGGTGACCATCCCCCTCAGAAACATTGCTGCCACTATGTCCAGACAGGAAGCATCTCTGACTCTAAAGCTAACAACATCTGAGACACTTTTATTTTCTTTTTTTAAGAGTAAACTCCTTCAACTTTCTGCCTGTTCCTAATCAATACTTTGTTTTTCTTCGTGGGAAATAGTTTCCTTAGCAACCACTGCTTCATAGGATCAAGTACAACATGCTACTGAGACAAATGCTTTTCTGGTATTACAGAACATTACATTTTAAAATAATTTAACAAAATCAACAAGGACTGAAAGCAAAAATGTAATGAGCTTTGATTATAGAAATCAAATCTGAGCCCAAGAGTTCTGTTAATAGCATTTGGCAAATTATGTTTTAAAATCTCTCTTTTCCTAAGTAAATCCACATACACACCACAAGAATCAAGGTTCTCATTCTCTAACATAGTTCCTGGTTTCTCCTTGGACTGATCAGGAAAAAAAAAAGTTAAAAACAGAGGTACTGGTCTTTAACAACATGAAGTAGGTTTTTTCCTGGTACCCTAAACGTGACAAGATGTAGTCTCCTTGCCTGAAAGGTCAAGACAACTGAGGTACCTCTGCAAATGTATTTTTAAGTTTATAATTTCTGCAAGATACCAAATTAGGATATTAGACAGGGTACTTTCTCTACGTATAAAATAGAGAAACCTACTAATTTCAAAATATATTCAAATTCATATATGTTCAAATATGTCTAATATTGAGTACTACAGTGAAGTGCCAGGTATATTAAACTGCTAAACCAACACTTCCACTTGGATGTTCAGAAGACATCTTGAAATATATTGCTTTTTCTCATGACAAGCTCTGTACTTCAGTATGCAGATGAATTACTTTATGTGTATTTCCCATTTCATCCCACAGAACATTAATAAGATGTGTAATTGAGGGCTGAAATGTAATAAACTTAATAATTTGTGTTGCTTTGATCAAGGGCATTCAAGGAAACTAATTTTTATTTTATTATTTTGTTCAATTACTTATCATTTTGCTTTACTGAAAGTACACAGTGAATACACAATAATTGACTAGCACAATTTGGTGCCACAACCTCTATTCATACTAAAGTATCAGGAGTTTTATGTACCATTTTTTTTTTTTTTTTGCACCATTAGTACAAAATGGAAAAAGAAAAAAAAGCAAATAAAATGTTAATATTATTACGGAAATAGTTTTGACCTGATGTACCACCCGAAAAGAGCTTGGGGCTCCTCAGGAGTCTGTAGCCCACACTTTGAGAACTGCTGTTCTAAAGAGCACGTCCTGCAGGTACACCTGGGCCAAGGAGTAACAAAGAATGCT